GAATAAACGATTTCTGGAAAAGCAGCCAGCCTGGGTGAGGGGCTGATGGCTGTTTGCAGGCTGGCCATGGCCCCCAGCCACCCAAGCCCCCAGTGGAGGCTGGCTGGAAGCACGTATTGGTAAGCCCAGATTTCAGGATCACCAGAAGACCACCAGGGAGCCAGCCGAGTCCAATGCAAAAGCAAATAGAGTCTTTATTCGGGCTAGCTCGAGCTCCCCCCACACTCGCCGACGTAGAGGCTGGAGCAGATAGAGAGTGAGCTCTATGGGGAGAGGGGGTTTATAGGGGGGTTGGAGTAAGGGGAGGAGAGAGGACTGTGGGCCCTGCCGATTCGCCAGGCGCAAGTCGGTGTCTTGTTACACAGGATGTGGTCATATCTATGGCGTGCACTACCCTTGATTATCATTGGTTAGTTTAAAGAAATCCTAGGTGTGGCTAGCAGAGGCTTGGGCTTCCGGGAAGAAGCTCCTTGCCAAGTACATGGCTAAGGCTGGGTAAGAGATACTTGAATACTTGAATGGAGGATCCGGGGTAAGTTGGAGGGCGTAGCCCTTGCCTTTTCAGTATCTGGGATTTATTTAGCTTCTATAATTGAAACTTTGTTGCCTTTAGTCAAGGCCACAGCTGGCCAGGGCAGGCGGGAAGTTTGGCTTCCTCCATCGCCCGGGCAACTAAGCCTCCTGCTTTCTCCAGCTCCGTGGCTGCTGGCTGCCATCTTTGTTGGGTTAATTTGCATATAGTCGCTCTGATTGGCTGGTGGGCATGGCTTGGGCATAGCAAAGTTATGGTGAGTTAGCATCTTTGTCCTTTATTAGTGTAGATAAGTGGTATAATTTAAAGTAGTACTTGATTATACTAAAGTTGCATAACAAATAGTTTTTTGCATTGTATTGGGTTTCTTTTTTTCTTTTTTCAACTTCACTTTGCCAATTTTTGACTGAAAATGTGAAAGTGGAGGTATACATTCAAGATGGGCAGGAGAATGTATTTGTGGAAAGGAGAAGTGGATGAGCAGAATGGGGTAAACTCAGTCACTTTAACAATTAAAGCAGTGGGCTGGAAAAATTTATGGATTCTAAAATGTAACTAAGCTCAGTCTCAGAGTTAATTTGCCTCCGGGGATTCCTTAGCTGGCTGTGTGTTTTCTGTTTTTATTTATTTATTTATTTATTTATTTATTTAAATCCTCCCCCAGGGATATGTTTTTATTGATTTAAGAGAGAGAGAGAAACATAGATCAGTTGCATCTGTATGCTCCCTGACAGGAAATCAAACCTGTAATCTAGGTATGTGTCCTGACCAGGAATTGAACCCACAACCTTTTGGTGCATGGGACGATAGTCCAACCAACTAATCTACCTGGCCAGAGTCTTGAACTGCTTGTTATAACATTTTTCCTTTTCAGTGATAATTAGGTACCCTATTTTTCACTTTATCTAGTTCTTTGTCTTCCCTGAGTTCATTTGTGGACTCCTGCAATTGGAATATGACCTTGACTTACTGTTGTCTGGGAGTTTGCTGTATCCCTGGAGAGATCACTTTTCCCATCACAATCTCAGTCTAGCACTCAAAAAAGATAAGGACTTCTTTTTTTGCTAGCATAGGTACATCGTTGCCCATTCCTATCTCTAGGTTTATATTTATACTAGAGGCCCAGTGCATGAAATTCGTGCACGGGAGGGGGGTCCCTCAGCTTGGCCTGCACCCTCTCCAATTCGGGACCCCTCGGTGGATGTCCGACTGCCAGGATCAGACCTAAACTGGCAGTCGGACATCCCTCTAGCAATCTGGGACCGCTGGCTTCTAACCACTCACCTGCCTGCCTGTTGGCAGGCCCTAACTGCCTCTGCCTGCCGGCCTGATCACCCCCTAACTGCTCCCCCGCTACTGGCCTGATCGCTCCTAACTGCCCTCTGCTTCCGGCCTGACCACCTCTAACTGCCCTCCCCTGCCGGCCTGATTGCCCCTAACCGCCTCTGCCTTGGCCCCCGCCACTGTGGGTTTGTCTGGAAGGACATCCAGAAGATGTCTCGTCTAATTAGCATATTACCCTTTTATTAGTATAGACTAGAGCAGTGGTCGGCAAACTGTAGTGATGGTATAAAGGTGTGACAACTATTTGCATATTAGCTCTTTATTATATAGGACTAGAGGCCCGATGCATGAAATTCATCCACTGGGAGGAGGGTCCCTCAGCTCACCCTGTGCCCTCTCGCAGTCTGGGACCCCTTGCTCCTTACCACTCAACTTACTGCTCCTTAGCACTGCCATTGAGGCGGGAAAGGCTCCTACCACTGCTGCCGCGCTTGCCAGTCGTGAGCCCGGCTTCTGGCTGAGTGGTGCTCCCCATGTGGGAGCACACTGACCACCAGGGGTCAGCTCCTGCCTTGAGCGTCTGCCCCCAGGTGGTCAGTGCACATTGTAGCGACCGGTCATTCTGGTCGTTCTTCCGTAATGGTTGCTTAGGCTTTTATTATATAGAAGATAATCCTTAATAATTTTACATGTGCTTGCATGAGTGTGTGGTGATTGGAGTGGCTATGTGTATTAGTATGTGATTGAACCTAATGATAATTGGACTATGGCAATGTGTCAAAACTGACACTTTGAATTTGGGAAGTTGGGAGAAACATTTTGTATGAAGTGGCAGAATGCTTTTTTTCCCCAATGTTTTTATTGATTTTAGAGAGAGAAGAAGGGAGAGGGAGAGAGAGATAGCAACATCTATGAGAAAGAAACATCAACATCGATTGGCTGCCTCCTGCATGCCCCATGCCGGGCTTTGAGCCTGCAACTCGGCCATGTGTCCTGACTGGGAATCGAACTGGTGCATGGGTTGACGCTAAACCACTGACCCACACTTTCCTGGCCAGAATACTTTTTATGGTTGCTTTGTTTAGCATATAACAAGAATCAGCAAATATTTTCTGTTAAAAGACCACATAGTAAATATTTTGTATTTTGTGGGCTGTATGGTCTTTATCATAGTGACTCAACTCTGCAAAAGTAGTTATAGGCAGTAAGCAAGTGAATGAGCGTGGATGTGTCCTAATAAAAACAGGCAGTGGTCAGATTTGGTCCACGTGCCGTGGTTTACCAGCTTCTGGCATGATGAGTGATGCATGCTTTGAAAAATTGCTAATATAAAAGTCAGTTGTTCCTGTGACTAACTTACATAGCACTTTATGATAGCATTGGGTATAAATAAATTTGTTTTAGTAGTAGTAGTAGTAATAATAATGATAATAATAATAATAATAATAAAAAATTACCAGTAAGTCTTACCAGGCTGAGGAGACAAGGATTAATATTCAGGACTCATTGGGGGAGAGAATCCCAGTGAACATCCCAGGCTCCTGTTGAAAGCAGCAGGGTTGTACTCGAGGAGGAGGTGAATTAGAGGTAGATAGAACCCTCTTCAAACTGAAACCTCTGCTTGACTCATCTCAGTTCCTGATCAGATTAAGGTGATCAGTCCCCATTTTAAGGACCTAGCAGAGAAAAGGATCAGCCCTTATTGAAGAAGATATATGTATAAAAATTGTAATTTTCTGTCATTCTATACAGAATTCATAAGCACATTACCAGACAGAATCATAGCTCCTGGTTGGGTAGAGTGTTGTCCTGATACACTATGGTTGTGGTTTTTATCTCCCATCAGAACACATACAAGAATCAACCAATAAATAAGTGGAAAAACAACTCAATGTTTCTCTCTTTTTCTGTCTCCCTCCCTTCTCTTCTAATATCAATAAAAATAAAAAAGATAGAATCATATGACTAAATATGAAGAGAAAAAAACTCCATACAATATGAACATACCTACAGGTGTTCCAGTTATTAGAGTTAATAGGCAAAGACTTTAAAATAATAATTAATATGGTCAATAAAGTAGAAAAAATTGAGAACTTCATTAGAGAATTAGAATCTATAAAAGGGAATTGAAATTCTAAAACTGAAAAATGCGTTAATTGAATTTTAAATCTCCAGTAAATGGGTTTAACAGCAGATGAGACACAGAAGAAGGCAGGTTAGTGAACTAGAAGATAGTTTCATGAAAAGTCTTGAAATGAAAACATTGAGTGGAGGAAGAATAGAAAATTCATAAAATAGACATGGAATCTAGTTTAAAAGTTCAGCATGGGATTCCAAGAAGAGATAATGGGGAAAAGCAAAATGTGTGAAGGGATAATGGTCACAAATTTCCAAAACTGCTGAAAGTTGCCAATCCACAGACTTAAGAAATTATGTTAACCCTAAGCAGAATAAATTTTAAGGAAAATCATACATACATAGACACATTTTAAAATATATATATATTTTATTGATTTTTTACAGAGAGGAAGGGAAAGGGATAGAGAGCTAGAAACATCAATGAGAGAGAAACATTGACCAACTGCCTCCTGCACACCTCCTAGTGGGGATGTGCCTGCAACCAAGGTACATGCCCTTGACTGGAATCGAACCTGGGAACTTTCAGTCCTCAGGCTGACGCTCTATCCACTGAGCCAAACCGGTCAGGGCTAGACACATTATTTTTACAACTGTTGAAAACTTTGGGTAAAGTTAAAATCTTAAAAGTGGTCAGAGAAAAATAAGATACTTTCCTTCAAAGAAGGAACCGTAAGACTCATGGCTAGCTTTTAAGGATGAAGTATCATGTACCTTAAACATAGATAGAAAAAGAGATATAAATTCCCCTTCTTGTTGTATGAGGCCAGCATAACCTTGAAACAACCCCATTGAGAACATTGTAAGCAAAGGAAAGTGGAAACCAGTCTTAGGAATATAGGTGCAAAATTTTAAAATATCAGCAAATTGAATTTAGCGATACATAAAAAGGATAATACAGCTAAGTGGATTTAGTTCAGGAATACAAGGTTAGTTTATCATTTGAAAATTAATGCATTATCTCATAAAAGGAGAAAAATCATAATTTCTATGACAAAATTCAGCACAAACTGATAATTACTAGTAATAGAAGAGAACTTCTTAGTTATAACAGAGTATCTTTAAAAAATCCAACAATAAATTTATACTCAATGCAAGTTATTGAAATATTTTCCCTCTGAGATGGTAACAAAATAAATGTGCTTACTATTACTCTTTCTTTCTTTTTTTTAAAAAGAATATATTTCTTTATTGATTTTTTACAGAGAGAAAGGGAGAGGGATAGAGAGTTAGAAACATCAATGAGAGAGAAACATTGATCAGCTGCTTCCTGCACACCCACTACTGGGTATGTGCCCGCAACCAAGGTACATGCCCTTGACCGGAATCGAACCGGCGACCCTTGAGTCTGAAGGCCGACACTCTATCCTATGAGCCAAACCAATTAGGGCTATTACTCTTTCTATTGAGCATTATACTGAAAGCCCTAGTCAATGAAATAAGGAAAAAATGGAAAGTAAGGATTGGAAAGGAAGAAATCAGAATTATGCACAGATGACATTATTTACCTATGTGCCTAGGTATGCAAATGAATGTACAGATGAGTTATTAGAATTAAGCAAATTTAGAAGAACCTTTGGATATAACTATGTTCAATATACAAAACTAAGTATATTTCTAATATACTAACAATCAAATAGGTAATACCATAGAAAAACATTAGCTATCCAGAAATAAATCTAACGAAAGATGTGTAAAACGTATATACTGAAAAGTACAAAGCATTATTAAAATTCAGAAGACCTAAATAAATTGAAGGCTGTGTTATGTCTGTAAGTGGAAAATTCAATATTATATAGTTATCAGTTTTCCCCAAATTAATATACTTAATACAATCCCAATAATTCACTAAACTGCATACTTAATGATTTGCACAGTTCTGTACATATAGTTCCATAAAAAGTTCAATTAAAAGACATTGTAACATGTTGGGAGACTTGCAGATTTTTCATAGAATGATGTAGACTTAGATTATTATTAATATTTTGGGGACAAATGGTGATATTAGCTGTGATCTTTAATTATGAGTGTTTCCTTTGTTTTGTTCCATTGCTTGGTTATGCAGATGAGATAATATAGATTATTTGGGAAATCTTTAGTATGAAGGTTTGGGTTATATTGAAATATCTAACATTTTTATATTTTAGTTAAATGAAGTAAGTGAAGAAAACAAGAAGATGGAGATTCAGGCAAAAAGAGTTCAAGCTCGTTTAGATAATTTACAGGTAAGTTGCTTGTTCTTTTTGGCATAAGTGAATTTTATGATTGCCTTTGGATTTTCTCACTTTTAACATAATTGTTCTTTAATTCATGGATATGTGCTGTTGCAGAGGAAGTATGAATTTATGACAATACAGAGATTGAAAGGAAATTCCCATGCTGTTCATGAAATGAAAAGTTTAAGACAAGAAAAAGTACCAGTTTCAAAAACATATAAGGTATGATATTATTGAAATTTTCTTCAGTGGAAAGCCAGGGAATTTTCTCTTTGTTCTTTAACCTTTTTATTTCATTTAGCAAACATTGTTTTTGGTATGAAAGGAATCCTATATATTAAAAGGGTAATATGCAAATTGACCCTAATAGCAGAACGACTGGGAATGACTGGTCACTATGACACACACTGACCACCAGGGGGCAGACGCTCAATGCAGGAGCTGCCCCCTGGTGGTCAGTGCGCTCCCACAGTGAGAACTCTGTTCAGCCACAAGCAAGGCTGACGGCTGCCAGCACAGCGGTGGTGGTGGGAGCTTCTCCCGCCTCCTCAGCAGTGCTAAGGATGTCCGACTGCAGCCTAGGTCTGCTCCCTG